TTATATCATATTGCATTTGTACAGCTGCAAATTTAGAAATAGTTCCCAGGATTTAAATATAAATTCAATACATTGTAGAAAGATCTGCCAGAAGGTGACTTGTGTGATTTCTTAGCTGTCTGCCCAATCTGTAACTTCTGATAAGCATTTGCAACCCCTTATATTTTCTTTCTTATACTTCTGATCTATAAATCATACTTGCATGGGGCAGCTTAATAGTATCTACCCTTTCTCCTTAAATCATCTGGCCCTTTTGCCACATGTAAATAATTTCATATATTTTTGCCTTATGAAAGGTTCTTTTCTTTATTCTGTCCTTCAGCACCTTTGTCAGGATGCCCAAATAAGGCTTTGGAGGATAGGCTGCATGGGTCATTCTGACATGATGGAATGCGGTGAGTAGAGATGGCGAGTTGATAAGAACCATTTATTTATTTATTTGCTTACTTCATTTCTACCCCACCTTTCTCGACCCAAGAGGGGACTCAAGGCGGCTTACAAATCCAGCGAAAATTCAATGCCACACAGCTAAACAATAAAACACATCTCATAAAAATATAAACAATCTAAACATATAAACAATTAGACCCCATAACAATCTATCTCATAACATCTGGCCTGGCTGGTATTTTGAGAACCAGAATGGGAGATTTGCAAGTAGAATGGGGAGGAGGTAGTCTGGTGTGAAAGAGACTATAAAAACTGCCATGTCGATTGTGTGTTAGTACCATCTTGCTTGTTTTCTGGTGACCAAGAATAAAGAGTATCCATTGTTCCTGAGCAGTGTGAGCTGTATTTATTCTGAGAGGCCCCAGAATTTGACAACCTTTTGCAAAAAAATAATAATTTACGGAAAAGCGTTTTTGTGCAATTAAGTTGTATGCTAAACATTTCTAATTCACGTAGAATATGCAGTTTTATGTACAATAATGTTTTTTGCCCAAATAATTGTTTCTACAAGTAAGTCCTGCATTATGAAGAATATTGCAGCATTTAACTATTTTCTCGACTGATTGGATCAGTTTCATCCAGCCATTTCATTGGGTTGTGAGGGAAAGTTTTATAGACATTACTTCAAAAGGTAAATGTTTGCAAGAAAACCATTGAGAGGTTTCAATGCAATACAAAATGGAACATTTGAATTTGGCTTCACTCATAAATATGCTGGCAGGCAAAGATCTATTGCTGTGAGTGCCTATAGGTAAGCCAAAAATATGTGTCCTTCCCACAGCACCATCAATTGATGGGATTTCCATGACATGAACATCCAAAAGCCTCCAGCAATTGGTGTACTGTGAAACTAGGGCTTGCTCCCAAGGAAATTTTAGAATGGGAATAATGTTTGTTGTTCTACTGATTGTTTTGTTCCATCTTCAGCGTTCAAAAGGCTAACAGTACAATGGCCATAGGTTAGTCACAGACATGCAGCTAAACACTAATATAATTATTTCTTCTTGTTCTTCTTAATCACCACATTAACTTGCTATTCTTTGTAGCCTGCTATCCACAAATTAGGTCAGGAATTCATCAGCTCACTTCATCCAGGAAGAGACGACTTATCTATCCACACAGGTGGGATAGCTTAAGACATGCTTATTAGGAAAAGGCTTCTCTCAAGTATTCCTTCCCTTACAATTAATTCCACCCTACCAGAAATATTCTTAATGCCCTTGTCTTTAATGAAAGCATTCCTAGCACTCTCATTTTCCTCTTGGGGGAAATCTGCAATGCCATGTCTACCCACTTGGACATGAGCCTTGTGAGCATTTCTGATTGCCTTAAAACATTTTAATTACTCTTTAAGACACAACATAGTCATTGTATGATTCAGCACATTATGTCTATTTTTGAAAACCCTGAAGGATAACACATTTTTGACATCAAAAAAGTCAGTACTATTACAAACCTTAGCCACAATCTTATGCATATAAATTCATAGTGGCTGATGCCAACTGAGGCTAATGGGGTATAGCTGTGGGATCATCAGAAGCAGGACCATGTACCTCTAATTTGCCACAGTCATATACATAGGCACACTTTTTGGAAGTGGTATTGGGAATTTTGCCAAAACCAGGGGAATACTTTTTATCCAGACCCATATTACAATGGAATAAGTTCATGAGATGGACTGCGGCCATTGTGATTATCATTCTTTTAAATAAACAAAAACAAATTGCTGGGCACTTTCCCTTAGGCAAATGAATGAGCCAAAACACATGCTGAGCTGTATTCAACTCCCTAAGAATGCATCATAAAACAGCACTGACAGCTCCAGATATTTTTGGCAGTAACTTGGGTAACACAATCTCAATGAAGATCATCTTAGACAGACAGTGCTGAATCAAGGCTTTTTGTTATCAGAACTTCAGACCCAGAAAGAAATCTCTTTCTCCCAATTACATTGGAGAGCTTTGCTTGCTTTAATTATACTGAGAACATGTTTTTGTGTATGTGTGTGCATAGATTACAAACAAAACAACAATACTGGGCCAATTTTTGCATAGGCCAACATTTTTGAAAATCTGCCTGGCCTTTGTAGGCACCAGTTCCTATTGACTCAGTACAACTTGGTATCATGTGAGATGGATTGTTTTCTTCTGCAGAAAGGCAGTCAATGGGAATTTACCATATTCAGAAATAGTACATGAAACTATCAAAGAAGAGTGGAGGAAGGAAGCTGAAGGCCAAGACAAGAAAAAAGATCCCTAGAGTGTGAGCCTCAACAAATGCCAGTTCTGATTCTTCTGAAGGACTTAGGAAGCTATGGTTGTAAACATCTTATCTGTGCCATGATATAGTTGGAAAGCAGACAACTATGAATCCCAAAAATCAATTCCACTGAGATACACTTCAAACTTGGACAACATTTGTGTGATTTTCCCTACCCCCTAGTTCAGTTTCAGCAAACAGGACAAATATAGACCCAAATCACAATTGATCGTGTTCATCTTACTATTTGCTACTAATAAGATAAGCCAGAGAACAAACAGTCATTTCAACATATTGAAATAAACATAATGCTTCTATGTATGTATGTATTTATGTATGTATGTAGGTATGTATGTGCCTACCTGTCTGTTTGCCTGCCTGTCTATCTTTGAAATTTGGATATGTGAGCCTATGTGAGGGTTATTTGTCCCATGTAAACATGGCCCCAGGTGAGGTGATGCAACATGAAACTCATGCTGTGCTAGAGGCATAATGTCTATTTCATGACTGCAGATCTTCCCTGACATTGTAGTCTCTGAGTGATGTACAGCCATATGTAAATATAGCCACCATATGTGTGTGTATGTATGTGTATGTGTGTGTATACACACGCACACATTGCATCTTTGTAAAAGCAAGCCCCTGTGCAACTAAATTTTTTTTTGCAAGATTCTTTTCTCTCTCCATTACAGTCAAAGAAGAGGTTTTCTAATTTCTCTCTATCCCCCACCCTCTGAATTGCTGCTGGATAGGAAACAATGATACTGGTGCACCAGACAGCAGTGTCTGGAGATTAATAGATAGTCTGTTTTGCTGTTTTGTTTCTAATCTATCAAGCACTCAAAAACATGTCCTCAGTATAATTAAAGCAAGCAAAGCTCTCCAATATGCTTGGGAGAAAGCGATTTCTTTCTCAGCCCAAGCACCAGTTAGCGTGATAGTTGCAATTATTCATAACCTCTAGATCAAAATAGGCAATGTCCTCAGCAGTGACGGCCATTTTAGAAATATGTCAGTAGCCCGAGGGCAGGGGCTAATTTACATGTAAAATTAGACTAAACTACATATCATTCCCACATCTCATAATAAATGACACATGGTTGGGGGTCAGGATTACATTTATTATGCTGTTTTTGAAACAGAATATTGTTATTTTGGATGAGAACGCACTTCCTCTGATGGTGAAATTTGGGTAGTGTCCTGGAATGAATGATGCCTCTAGCTAGACATGTGCAGGGACATTTAAACATGTTGACTCACTTATTTCTCCAACAATAACTACAAGTTTCCTTCCATGAAAAAATGGTACACAAACAACATTGTGGCTGTAAGGAAGAAAGCCACTGAATCACAACATGTTTGAACCATAATAACAAAATTGCAGAAAAATCTTCCACTTCCACACCACTATCAGAAGATAGCACACAAAACAACACACTTTGTCCAGCTGCATAAATAAAGATAGACCTCTGCTTGTCTTGGCAAAAATAAAATACTGGGTCATTTTCAGCAGGGCATCTTCAGCATTGCTATTGCTGTTATTCAGCACAACAAAGTTAGTGGAACTCCAACATTGCGGCCAAGACCACCCCAGGAATCTCAAGAAAGGAAATGTGGATTGTGCACCATCAGAATTTCTCATCTATCCCATCTGTAAACAGTGCTTTATAACACCTGGTTGAACCGGGACTGGGGGGAGGGGGTGCATGTTCAACATAATAATCTTAATTTATAAGGTGGTTGATTTTGTTGCATTCCTTTGAGTCATTTCTGACTTATGGCAGATCTATGACTTGGTTTTCTTGACCAGATTTACTGAGAGGGAAAGTGGTAGCCATCACATTCCTCTTGGATTGAAAGGGTGTTACTTGCCAAAGGTCACTGAGTGATTTTGAAATAGAATTTGAACCTCTGATTTCCCCATTTTCTGCTCCAACACTATCATTATGTCAGGCTGTTCTCATATTGTTTCATATCATGGTATGTATGCAACATATCTATTGCCACTTTGATGCCCGGAATCCTAATTCCTTTCTTCCATTGAATTCTATGGGAGGGCCATAGATCATTTATCAGACTGAATAATAGAAGTCATTCTTTCCCAAAGGAGATAAAGATGCTGTCTTAGCTATCACTCTCATTGCTCTGCTTTCTCTCAAATCCAGCACCAGTCTATGGAAACAGCCACACGAACCTTACATATATCTGTCAGCACCATCTTTTCAACAAGTTTAGCTCCCTGTGCTGCTTTTCAAAAAAAGAGAGAAAGAAGGAAAAGCTGTGATAGATACCGTTTTATTGCTTCCTCTTGTTTCCGGCGCTTTTCATTCTTTTCTTTCAAGTAAGCCAGGTTTGTTTCATTCCTCATGCGATCGTTCTCTCGGGCTATGTCGGATGCGTTCTGTATAACCAAACCATCATAGGCCTTCATGCCCATGTCTTCAATATACTGGAGAAAAGTGCCCAAAGTTACCTCCTCTTGATTAGAACTCATCATCTTGTGGGAGATAATAAACAGAGCAAAATACTTCCTGTTGGTTGACAAAAGAAAGAAAAAACAATGAAGTCCATACAAGCAAATCAACTTTATGGGTTACTTTGTTTTGTTTGTTTTAGCTCAGCATGAAAGAGTTATATTTGGAAGAAAATAATCACTGAAGTGTATTTGTTATTTTATTTTAACTTTTAGTTTACTAAGAAAGAAATATATTTGAAACAACTCAACTCAATCCAATGTCATACTGCTTAAGGCTAGATTGTTGCTGGATTTTTTAAAATTTTCTCTAAACCATGGTCAGAGTCCTAGATTCAAACATAAAATGAACCTAGGTTCTTGTGGGTTTTTTCAGGCTATATGGCCATGTTCTAGAGGCATTTCTCCTGATGTTTCGCCTGCATCTATGGCAAGCATCCTCTGAGGATGCTTGCCATAGATGCAGGCGAAACGTCAGGAGAAATGCCTCTAGAACATAGCCATATAGCCCGAAAAAACCCACAAGAACCTAGTGATTCCAGCCATGAAAGCCTTCAACAATACATAAAATGAACCACATATACTCATGTATATGTCAACTTCTTATAAAAGTCAATGGCAGGTTTTAGAGCCAAAATTATGGACTTTGATATGACCCATGAATATGTCGAGGTTCATTGTTTAGAGAGGGAAAAGGAAACAGCTCAAGGAAACAGTAGCCCCTGGCCACTGCCACTATTACCTTACCCAGCCATTCAAAAAGATCAGAAGTAGTGCTACAGGGTAGAGAGTGTCTGTGCTTCTTTTCAGTTTTCCTGAATGGACTAAGTTCTTGCCTTTTGCCACTCTACCCAGAGAATGAGATGGTTCCTTTTTCTCTAGGAGTTAAGATACAGTACTCACATTGACCTGTGGATAAGTCAACCTGGTTTTTTTTATTTTTTATTAAAATTTCTAGAGTTATACATGAGTATATACATAGTACTGAACTGAGCATGTTCTAATTTAAGGCTGCTATTTCCTTACACTACATTGCATGACTGTGACCCAAAGCAGATTTTGCAACTGTAGCAGTAAAACAGTTTTTTCCCATCTCCTTTCATCCCCACACCAATTTGATTATGTCTAGGTTAGTTAGTTAGTTAACTAGCTAGTTCATTTATATCCCACATTTTAAGTGGGACTCTAGCTAGCTTATATCATGTTAAAAGGAATTTTTTTAAAAGCTCTGCAAAAACATCAATGAAAAGTGTACGTGTGTGTGTGTGTGTGTGTGTTACTTAAAAGCCAATTTAACAATGTATTAATTAAAACCATTAAATTTATTAAAAGACTATACAAACTACTAACTAACACATCACATGAATAAGAGCCTATCTCAGCTAGTTTCTAAAATATATTGGAATATTTTAACTTGCTGAAGAAAGAGTGGGCCATCCTGCCTTCCCTCTAGAAGGAGTTTCAAAGTTGGGGAGCAGCCACCAAGTAGATCCTTTCCCTTGTTCCCAGAAAATGTGACACTGTTATTATTTTGTTGTTGTGAGGCTTCAAGTTATTTTCTGACCTATGGCAAAACAATGTTGTTGTTTTTTTTGTCTGAGAGTGTGTCACTTAATTTGGTAAAGTGGAGATTCACTCAAGCTGCTATGACATGCTGGCTCCAATAAGTGCCATTTCCATGAGGATTAAAAAAGTGGGATCTTGAGTCTGTGAGAATCAAAGCAACAAAAAAATCCAGGTGTGCTAGCTGAACTGGACCATTATCTCACTGCAATCAGTCTGATGAATTAAATATGGCATTAATGGGATTGACAGTAACTACCCAATAAGCTAGTGCTGAGAAGAAAGATTCCAAATTAACTATAGCATCCTTTACCTTGAACACTGAACATTTCATGCATGTAGCATCCTTATCTCTAGAATAGCAACACAGATGGGCTTTATGTGGCACATTTCCTTCTGTCTTCAAGTTATCTCACTTAACTTGGCTCAAAGTAGGCCAATATTATCATATTGCCCATATTACAGATGAGGGATTGAGGGTATATATATTTCCTACCTCGAGGTTAATGTTAAGTTTGAACTGGAGCTTCAGTAAAATCTCTTTGTTGCTATGCTACACTAGCTCTGAAATATAAACTCATTATACACTCTGTAACATAGAATCATAGAGTTGGAAGAGACCTGAAAATGTGGTTGTTCTGTGTGCCTTCCCTGAATAAAGGAAACAATTCCCTGCAAACACTCTGAGAAGCACTTTAATTACCCGTTGGGCTGCTCTTTACTTTTGGTTTAAAACCCTCCAAATAGATACATCCTCATGTCCAGCATTTATTTTTTAAAGTTTTAACTATTACATTTGGCCCAGCCATAGGTTTTTAAACTCTTGTGTGTTATTGTCTACTTATTAGTTATATTAATTGTATTGTTTATTTTGTTTATTGCTTGTTATTTTATTATTGCTTGTTGTTTTTGATCTTCTGTTGGGCTTGGCCTCATGTAAGCCACTCCGAGTCCCTTGGGGAGATGGTGGCAAGGTATAAATAAATTATTATTATTATTATTATTATTATTATTATTATTATTATTAAAATCATCCAAGTCCAACCCCATTCTGCATACAGGAATCAAAGTATCCCCGATAGATGGCCATCCAGCCTCTTATACCAAAATTTTCCAGACAAAGGGATTGTATCACACTTCAAGAGACCCCATTCTACTGTCAAACAACCTTTGCTGCAAGGAGGTTCTTTCTAATGTTCAGATGGTTTTCCTGAAGTTTGAATCCATTAATATGTGTTCTAGTCTGTTAAGCAGCAGAAAATAAGCTTTCTCCCTCCCTCAATATGACAACATTTCACATATTTAAACATGGCTATCATGTCCTCTTCTACAGGATAAAAATACCCAGCTTCCTAAGCACTCCTCATAGGACATAATTCCCAGACTTTTTACCATTTTGGTCACCCTTCTCTGGACACGATTCGGTGGGTAAAAATCACTTTGATTATTTTAATGGTCTAGGTTTATTTTACATTAATTGCTACTTTGTGTTATTATTAGATATGCTTGACTTTTAAGGTGTATTATAAACAAATTGTTATTGAAGTGCTATTGTATTTTATCCTGCATTGCTTTCTACTACATACAAAATGGGTTGTGCACCAAAATTTCGCAGTGCATCCTTCGTACTGAAATAAGTACTCCTATTCAACACTCCAAACATTCACTCCTTCCAAGCATCCTATTCCACTCTTCCTTCTCCTCTTCCCTATCATATCCTATGTTTTCTATCCCAATTGTCACTCTTTATTCCATGCTGAATCCTCAAGATTTCTTAGTGGAGCGTTTGGAAGGCTTTTTCCACCTTAAGTCTTTTAATCTTTATTTTAAGTTTCCAATAAACCTCAGTAGTTTTTATGACACGCTCCCTCACCATCACCTCAGTGACCTCATTTCAGCCACAATGAGGGTGACACTCACCACAGGAATTAGCTATTATACAGAATACTTATTATCCACCCATAACACTGAACATGTACAGGTTAAAGGTTTAGGATTGGGATATGAAGCAGAATGAAAAGGTGTAAACAAGACATACTGCATACATAACCTCCTTGCAGTTTTATTAGTTTGGGAACTGGACATTTAAAGATGGCAATGTCAGCAGTTTCTGAAGGTTGGGAAGGTCATCCCTTTCTTTAAAACACAGCACAGTTTAAAATTCTCACCACTTTCCCTTCATCTCTCAGCTAGAGTCAACATGCAGTTGTGGCAAAGTCAAAAATACCTTAGAATCATCTTGCCTGCAATCATCTCTCCAGCAGACAATAAATGAATTTCAGCCACAAATATTTTATTTTTAACTTTTACTCTTCCTGACAGTTTATTCTGTTTGTGGTAAGTTTGAACAGTTCACAGAATAATAATGATGTGGGTGTTTATTTTCCTGTGAGTGCTCCCATGACTACCTGCAATATCATTATAACAATTCACACATAATGTCTCTAAATGAGGATAAATAATTGATTGAGTTTTCAATCCAGCAATGAGGCAATCAAGCATCCCAACCCTTTTTTTTCAAATGTTCACTTGGCTGTGCTGAAAAATATATATGCAGAGTTCCACATCACATTTTGTTTTCTTTTTCCTCATGACATTGGAAAAACTGAACTTCATTGAATTCCCCAATGACCTGATCCAGTCAGGACTATGCCTAGCCAATTAGGGAGCCACAATGGAAAACAGACCTCATGGACACAGACCCCATCTTCCTATAGGTTAAATTGATCATTAGGATTCTTGTTCATGATTTGCCTAGAGCATGGAAATCATATGTGAAACGAACAAGGGCTTGCGAAGGAAGCTGGATTGGGTGTCTTCCCCAAAGTTTCAGATGAGGTGCTCCTTCCACTTGATCTATAAGATGTTGAGCACATAGTTAGATTAGGAAGGAAAATGTTCTGGTAGGTCCCTAAAGTTTTTATGTGTGAAAACTTACTCATTCAGTTCATGTAAAAAGGAAGTCCTTCATCAACTGGATCTTATGAAGGCAAAGCTTCTCCACTGAAGGAGCTGGATGAACCTCTTCATAAGTGAGACAAAAGTGTGTCCATTAGAACTCATATGAAATGAATTCTTGAAGGTTTTGCTGCTTTTTGAAGACCCAGAAGGGCCATACTCCATAATCATCTGAATGTCTGGATTGAGCCAGACAAGGGCAGTGGTGGATCTGTCACCATGGAAGCAACACATACTCTCTTAGTTTCACAGTAACACATTTTACATCTGCTCCTATTTGTAGAAGGGCTGCCCCAGTGATAAATCTCTTCCAGGATAGGGTTCGGCACTAGGAGAATTCCGTAGAAAACAGGTGGGAATGCTAGCCACATAATTGAACATGTATTTCCCATCTGGAATCCAACATCTCCTGGACTACTCAGTTCCATATGACTTTAGCAAGTCATTAGCCTGAATCCTATCAGATAATCACAACTAGAGTAGACCCACTGAATCAACTGTCGAATGGTGAATCAAAACATAGACAAATTCCATTGCTTTAACATGCCTACTCTTTTTGGAATTGGCAATAGGACACTGGTCATTGTCTTCATTCTCCATAACAGTAACTTAGACAATTTGTACCTCAAACTCAATTTAGACTTGCATTTTGTAACGCAATACCCATCTGAATGAAACAGCTCTCAACACATGTTCTGGTAATTTTTATCTCACTGCATTAGCACAAATCCCAATTTTTGTTTGTTTGCTCCTCCTTCAGGTTTATATTTGTATAATGAACATAACCCATACTACTTGAACATACTGCTGTCTCTATATTAGTTGCTTTCCTAGTGTCTACTTTTCTGCATATTCCATGTGTGTTTTCTCCTGTATAAAATGTGCTACTATCGGTGATGTTAAAACAAAGACAATGATGAGTGCTTATCCCATTTTACTGATATAAACAACACATTTTCTGTTAGTTGAATGGGTACATAACATCAGTCAAAAGCTTATGTTTCAGCAATACAGAAAAATTTAAAGGAGCCATGCAAAGCATCATGTGATTCGATTTCAACCTTTCTATGTCTTCTCCTCAGCATGTGCATTTTGTCTTAGGAATTTATTTTTAAGAAATCCACTATTTCAACCACAAATATTACTCATCATTCCAGTTGTAGTGACTGGGCTTCCTTTCCCTTTGGTGCTGAACTTCTCTCAAGACAGTAAGTGCAAAAAAGCTAGGCCACATCCAATTTCTGCAGACTGCTGACTTCAGCACCATTGTGAAAAACCTAATGGCATTGGTGTTTTCTACACAAGATCTCTCCAACCCCCTCCAGAATTGCTGCCTTTTATAAAATGGCTTTTAGAAGACAAATTATTTCTTGGGTAGGCACATTGTCAATGGAACTCTCATATTACATCTGGCTCAAGCCTTGTTAATTTTTAAACAGACTTAATATTTTTTTTTTAAAAAAATAGCTCTCTCCTCCACATGGTCTACATGTCTGGAAGCAGGATTTTTGCTTTTTACATATAGACACGAAGGCATTTTACATTTAAAGCCAAGTCTACATGAATGAACTCTTCTGGCATTTTTCCACTGGACTAAGATTTCCAGAAACTTTTATCTCTATAGTTCATTATTCTTGCTGTGTAAATTGACATTATTTCTTTCCCATTGTAAAAATTTGCATATCTTAATCATGACAAGGAGTCAAAGCAGGTCCTTCAAATGAATTAGGGACATACACTGTGTTCCATGAAAAGGAAGCCCCCTTGGTGTGACCTGTGTATGAATGTGTATTTGGAATAAAGTATGCGAACTTTACAAATCCTGTGAATATGAACTGGTCTGATTTTACACATTCGATAGAACATTCTTCCTTTCAGAACTGCTAACATGTGCAGTTTGATCACAGGTATTGTTGTTGTTTGCTTGTTAACATAGTGTAACTTTTGCTATGAAACCTTTATTGGTGTGTTTTGATTCTCAATACATAATTTCCAACATAGATAGATGATAGACAGACAGAAAAATAGATAGATAGATAGTCTAATGACCACTACCCATAACTGGGATAAAAAGGTTATCACAGCACTGCTAGTTCAATTTATGCTTTAACTTAGAAGTGTTTTAGTTAGTCATATTTTTTCTCATTCCTGAAGGTGTGCTTGGTTGGGGAGGTGGAATAAAATCAAGATATTTTGGCTATGAAAATAATATTGAAATGTCATAAAATATTTATGGCGTGACAGGCTAAGAAGTAACCAACCCAACTGTTATGTATTTTATCAATTAATATAGCAGAAAAAATAACAAGCAGCTTTTCAATAATTTAACATGACTTTTTGCAAATAAAAACTCCAACTGCAAAATGTTCTTACTTTCTAGTAGCCTAATTAAAAAAAGAGCATGAAATACTTCCAAATATGAAATACCATTGTTAGCTTGACCTTCAATTTGATTAATATCACCAAAACAAAGTTCTTTTCAGACATTGATGGGTTCTAAATCATTTCATATCTGGGCATATATTCCTTTGATAAGCATGATATTGCATTAGCAGGCTTAGAATTTCTTTTAAGAAAAATAATAATATCATGGACATACATACCAAGATTAAAGTCCTGAAGGGACTGCTAAGTGCAATGATTAAAGGTGACTTTTGTCTGTAAAAGCCCTTCCCTGGGGTTTATCTCAGTGCAGTCTGAAGGGATATTTTCAGCACCATACAAAACAGGTTTTGCAGATTGGCTCAGGTTTGTTTTTGTTTTGATTTTTTTCTTCAGTTAAAGTGCTTGAGATCTTCTTGGCAAAGATATCCAGATTGTAGCATTCTGTATTTCTCAAAACCAGTGGGTTGCCATAAAAAAGGAATGAAAGAAATCTTCTCAGTACAGGATTAAAAATAACCTTTCAAAGTTTGACTGTCACAAATGCAATGGAACTAAGCAGAGGAAAGAGGAGACTTGGCATCTTCAATCCACATGGAGAGGAAGGGCAGTGAAGGTATCAAGGGGGCACCAATGGCATCCTGTTTTGAAGTCCAACAGCAAAGAAATGGGAGGGTTTCTTCCCCACTTCACCATGCAGAAGATTGCAGCACCAACATATGCAATGACAGAGAAGTGGCTAAGGTGCCTCATTGGAGTGAATAGTGCAGAGAACGAAAGAAAGAAAAAGAAAGGATGGCAAACATCCTATCCAAATGGCTTCTTGCAGCAGGAAAAAAAGATGCTCTCCGTCTTGCTGACTCTCATTGCCACCTAGACACCGAAGGTTTCAAATAGTCTCTCTCACTCTCTCCCCATGACTACAAGCAGGCTGGAGCTTTCTTTCTCTCTCTCCTTCACTCTCTTTCTCTCTCTCTCTGTTGCTGCTGTTGTTGATTAATCAGGGATTCTCAAACAAAGAGCAAGCCTACCTTCAGCTATGAGCAGTAATCTGGTGCTCCTCTTTTTCTGCAATCCGCTTGCATCCAGCAGCCAAGCAGCCAGCATTCTAGCACCTTGGACAGTTCCCGTTTGCCTTCCTTAGGCCCATTGGAGGCGAAAGAGTGGGGGGGGGGGAAGAGGAGGTGAAGGACCAAGTGAAGAAATGACAAGAGACTGGAAAGCAGCAGCCTTCGACTTCAGCTTGCTGTCCCCAGGGGCGCAGCTGCTCATTAAAGCCTCCTATCTAGGCAACAGATTCTCTCTCTTTTATCTCCGCTGCACTGAAGTCTGATTAGCAAAATAATCCACTCGCGTGTGTATGTGAGTGTGTGTATGCACACACGAGAGAGAGAGAGAGAGAGAGATTGAAAGCAGGGAATCCAAGCAAATTCAGGCTCTCTAGGTAGGACAAAATAGGAAACAAGCCTGTTCCATTCTTCTCTTCCAACACCCCTTTAAAAAAAAAAAGAATTGTCCCTCCACAGAGAATGGGCAAGTTAACCTTTAGCCCATGTTATGGCTTCGGGAAATGAGGAGCCACTTAAAGGGAACATCTAAGTCTTGGTTTGAGACCTCATATTGATGTATCATTTGCACTCACCCTCCCCATAAATGCCGTGCCGGGCTCACAATTACTGCTGACGCAGATTAGGCTGCTGCTTGGGGAAAGGTAGGAGGAGCTTTTTAACCTCATCAAAACAACCTCCCACCACCTGCTCCCACTGCATGAGAGCAGATCTCCCCTCCTTGGAATGAATACCCATAGAATAATGTGATTTGTAAGGCAAAACGGCTTCCGAGAAGGCATCGTTCAACAGCAGGAAGATTTAGAAGACACAGCCATGCTATTTTTTAAAAGACTCTGATGCCACATTTGTCTCTTGCACAAATCATTTCATTCATCTTTACTAATTCATAGGGAGGGGGGAGAGAGATGACCTACAATTCTTCTACTCCAAGCCACTCCTAGTAGATGGCATAATCATCCATCAACTCAAAAGCATATGCATGTTTGTGCCATCCACATTGCTCTGTGAGCAGGTGGAGTGCAAAAAATGTGCCGGAAGAGTAAGAGCTTCCAAAGATTTCGGAAGTGAGCCAAATTATAGTATTATAGACCTCCACCTCCAAAGCACAACTCTGACTCATTCATCCACTTCATTGACCCAAACAGGAGAAATGAAAGAAGAGCAGCAGCTATTTGAGGTGAGGCAAATGTTTGAAGAGGGGCAAATATAGCTGTATATAAACATGGCATTTTATCAGTAGTTGTGAAGTCACACAACAGCTCAGACATATAAGGGGAGATCTTAAGATCATCAGTGTTGTAAGGATCCTCTGTCTCATGGCTAAAATACTCTGGTTGAGTGCTATATTGCCTTGACTAAGGTGGGAGGGGATTTTTTTTTGCCATTATGCCACAAGCAGCAAAACATCTTGGACCATCCATGGGGACCATACACATGCAAAAGCAGGTATCCATCTGTGTATCCTGAAGTGTATGTAAACTGCTGTTTTGAGCTCAGATTTAAACCAGATCTCCCTGTCTAACCTACCAAGGAGGGCTATGTCTGATTGGCTGTTTGGTATTGGGAGCAGTGGTTTGGATTAAATTTAGCCTGTCTTCCCGTTTTTCTGATAGTAGTTAAATTGCTTGGGTGGCTTTTGCACACATGTGAATTAGGAGAGAGTCCATACAAGCATATTCAAACACAAACCTTTAACAAACCCTGACTTCCATGGATTGCAGCTGATACACAAGTACAGAAAATCACAAGATAGTCTTCGAAACCAAATTGTTTTTGTAATCTTTTTATTTTTCTTTTCATCTCTAATTATATACTTAAGCTATATGGAAAACCTTGCTAGTGATGGGTTGGCATGCACAACATCAAATTAATGTATTCCAGTACTGAAAGCAAGGATAGTACACCAAACCAATTAAACTTTTAAGTCATCCTAAATAAGATTACAAGTACCTTTTGTTATTGGAACTTCCATTTTCTTTTCAGTTTCGCCAAACTATGCAAGATGCTTAGAGTAACTTCCATTTAAAGGATTCCTGGGTAGTGTGCATGGCTCATACATAGGGTATACTTTTTGAAAATATGTTTAAAAATCAATTTGCAAAAAAGCATTCTTTATAAGAAGACAGGAAAAAAGTCATAATAACAATAGGCTGCTCCCATCTTGTCAGGTATCAGACAGAGCTTTTGGCTTGCATCCAAGCCATTGTCCAATCCATGCATTGTTTCATCTCCTGCACAGCCTCACCTGACTCAGATGACAGAGAGTAACATGGCATACTATGTTACAGTATATGATTTTGTAAGTCTTGACAAGAATCATCTCTTGCTTATATGTGTGTGTTGAGGAAG